GTGGCTGGCGCCTTAGCCGGTTGAGCTATAGGCGCCGAGCCAATGAAAAAAAATTTGTTGAGGATCCTGCCACCTCTGTAATTTTGGTTAGGAACAATGTGACAGCCTGAGGCTGTAACCGACCTTGGCAAGTGTCCCTTCTACACAGTAGCCTGCTATAATGACGCCATTCCTCTTATCAGTACACCAGCTTTCAAATAACTCTCTGGATAAGCCACTCTGCATCATGCCTGGAGAGGCCATTACAACACTAGGACCGATGTCATCAAAGTGATCCATGCTCTAAAAGAAAAAGAAATGTTAATTACCAGGGTTTGATAAAGCATTTTTTATTTTTAAGGAATAATAAAAAGCTAGATGAAAGATTAATCATACTACTAAAAGGGCCTTGACAAAACTAGTAAACTTTTTTTTCCTTTTTTGAAACAGAGTTTCACTTTGTCACCCTTGATAGAGTGCCATGGTGTCATACCTCACAGCAACCTTAAACTCTTGGGCTGCAGAGATCCTCTTGCTTCAGTTTTTTTTGTTTTTCTTCCTATATGTAGTAGAGACAGGGCCTTGCTTTTGCTCAAGCTGGTCTCAAACTTGTGAGCTCAAGCTATCCACCCACCCTGGCCTCCCAGAGTGCGAAGATTACAGGTGTGAGCCACTGAGCCCAGCCATTACTGAACATTTTAAGTTCAAGTTCCTAAATATTTTAGGCTAGGAATGACAGAAAACAAAATGGTGGCTGGGCACCTGTAGCACAGTGGTTACGGTGCCAGCCACATACATCAAAGTTGGCAGGTTTAAACCCAGCCCAATCCAGCTGAACAACAATGACAACTGCAACTAAAAATAGCCAGGCAATGTGGCGGGCACCTGTAGTCCCAGCTACTTGGGAGGCAGAGGCAGGAGACTCGCTTGAGCCCAGGAGTTGGAGGTTGGTGTGAGCTGTGATGCCATAGCACTCTACCCAGGGGGATAGCTTGAGGCTCTGTTTCAAAAAAAAAAAAACTGTTTTAAGGAGAATTTGGCCCTAATTCTTAAGCAATTAACTTAAATAATATGCTTTACAACCAAAGTCTATTTACAACAGGAAGACTACTTATGACTTAAATTACTTTGGACATTAATTATTTTATTACCATTAAAGCATCAGTTCGAATGAAATAATCAGTTTTTTTTGGAACAGAGTCTCATTTTGTTGCCCTTGGTAGAGTGTCATGGAGTCACAACTCACAGTAACCTCCAACTCCTGGGCTTAGGAGATTGTCTTGCCTCAGCCTCCTGAGTAGCTGGGACTACAGGCGCGCCCACAGCAACGCCTGGCTATTTTTTTTTTTTTATACAGAGCCTCAAGCTATTGCCCTGGGTAGAGTATTGTGGCATCACACAGCTCATAGCAACCTCCAAGTCTTGGGCTCAAACGATTCCCCTGCCTCCACCTCCCAAGTAGCTGGGACTACAGGCACCCACCACAATGCCCGGCTATTTTTTGGTTGCAGCCGTCACTGTTGTTGGGCGGGCCTGGGCTGGATTCGAACCCACCAGCTCAGGTGTATGTGGCTGGCACCTTAGCCACTTGAGCCACAGGCGCCAAGCTCGGCTATTTTTTTTTTTATTACAGTTGTTGTTGTTTAGCAGCCCTGAGCTGGGTTCGAATCCACTGGCCTCAAGGTATGTGGCTGGCGTTGTAACCACTGTGCTATGGCACTGAGCCTGAATGAAATAATATTTTTTACACTACATTAAACCAGATTTTATTGAATGATCCAGAAAAGTAAACATGAAAATTTTCATATTTGTAATTTGTGGTGCTAATAAAAAAGATTAGGTTTGAGAATAGAGAAACTTTAATAAATAACAGATATTTTTTTGTTAAGACTTTTTATTCTGGCTTGGTGCCTGTGGCTCAAGTGGCTAAGGCGCCAGCCACATACACCTAAGGTGGCAGGTTTGAATCCAGCCCAGGCCTGTCAAACAACAATGACGGCTGCAACCAAAAAACAGCCAGGCGTTGTGCCTGTGGTCCCAGCTACTTCTACTTGGGAGGCTGAGGCAGGAGACTCGCTTAAGCCCAGGAGTTAGAGGTTGCTGTGAGCTTTGATGCCAGGGCACTCTACCCAGGGGGACAGCTGGAGGCTCTATCTCAAAAAAACCAAAAAACAACTTTTTATTCCTACAGCATAAGAGATCCAAGTTATTCAGCAATTGTAAATACTGAAAACATATGGAGACTTGGAGTAAGTGGCAAAATTTGTTAAGTAAAAAAAGAATGCCAGTTTCTGGAGGTTTAATTCCTGAGGAAAAATAATGCCTACTAGAGAAGAAGTAAGCACTCAGCAAGAGGAATTCAGTCACATAATCACTTTCAGGTAGCTCCTTAAAACACTCACCTTGAGGTTACTAATGTGTTTGAAAACAAAGGGATTATTGATGTTGATCTGTTTGCGAATTTTGTCATTCATTGCATTTACATATGTCTGGTACACTGCCATGCACTTCTTGGCCAAAGATGATGCATAGTATATTGGAATGTCATGTAGTTCTGGGTGATTCTGCCAATATTCATCTAGGGAGATTTTAAGAGAAACAAACATCTGTTTTCTATGAGTTCAAATAATAAGTGAAACACATAACTTAAAAAATTCAGACAACCAAGAAACAAAGTGTGTAACTAAATATTTAAAAGAGTTTAAGAAAAATTTTCTTAAGAAAAATAAGATAAGAGTTTAAGAAAAGGCTAATTTTTCTTACTGGTCCTTACTAACTTAAACTTATACACCCAAAACTTACTTCTAGGCACCAGTGCACAATCTAAGAAAAATGTGGTGAGCATTTTTAAAAATGGGGAGGCTTTTAAAAATTATTCATTATTAAGTTTTCATTGAATAATAGACCATAACATATTACCCCAGAGACACTAAATTCTGTGATGGCTTTTTTTTTTCTTTTTGAGACAGAGTTTTATTCTGTTGCCCTCAGCAAAGTGCCATGGCATCATAGCTCACAACAACCTCTCAAGCTCTTGGGCTCAAGTGATTCTCTTGCCTCAGCCTCCTGAGTGGCTGGGACTATAGTCTGATGGTTTTAAATAAAAATGTATTAATATTTCAACATACCTATCAACTGGTAATTATAAAACAGGACTATCAGAATAACTAAACTGATTTTAAACATTTCAAAAAAAGTATTATTCTTTTTTTTTTTGAGACAGGGTTTTGCTCTGTTGCTCAGGCCAGAGTACTGTGGTATAATCATTGCTCATTGTAAACTCAAACGCCTGGGTTCTAGTGCTCCTTCCAGTTCAGCCTCCAGTCCAGTGCCAGGACTACCGGCACTTAACCACACCTGGCTATTTTTTTTTATTTTTTTGAAGAAACAAAGTCTCCATATATTGCCTAGGCTGTTGTCAAACTTGGCTTCAAACAGTCCTCCTATCTCAGCCCCCCAAAGGGTTAGGATTCTAGGTGTGAGCTACCAGACCTGAACTGTTATACTTTTTAAAAACTACTAATCAAATACAGTAGGACCTTCATAGCTGACCACTTCCTTACACTGACCACCTCCTTAAGTTGACCTAATTTTCAGACTGGACATGCACCACATGTAAGTACAGTTGATGAACTCTGTATGCTGACCACTTTGTTACAGTCCCTACGGTGGTCCACTTACAGAGGTTCTACTGTAATTTCTGAGCAGTAGGCAAAAGAAGGCTTATTTTAAGAGGACCCTTATTAAATCTCAAAATTTCAAGAAGGAAGTATGACCAAAACCTATCACTTAATTCTACTAGGTCCATCTGCACTTAGGATATGTATCAAAAGCCTAGTATGTAATTTACATTTATCATTTCTAAGTTTCAAAACAACTTTAATAAAGATTTCCCATTTATTGACTGAGAAACTGAGACTAAAAAAAATGTTTAATAGTATATGAATGGCATTTTTCTACTTCGTGTGTAAGTGATGATTCTGTAAGTACAAGGGCTCTTCCTGTAATCTATGTTACAAGTACAATTCTGTTTTGGTTTCTGGTTTATCTTATTGTTTTTTTAGATATAACTAAAATTTTTAAAGGTATCAAAGTTTTTGGCATATATTGTTATGATTTCTCACATACTGTACAAAGCAGATTATATCTCAAGATCACATCACAATGTCCTATTTTTTTGTACGTATTTTTATGAGTAAATTCTGAACAGTTAAAAAAAAGGAATAATTTTCCCAAGGTCACACGGCTAGGACATAGAAAAGATTTAAAGCCAGTGACCTGAACAGCTACTCTCTGTTATACTATATTACCAGGGAGAATTTAAGGAAAAAGAGTAACCTAATTATATAGAGCAGATAAAAATACCAAATGCCCAGTTAAACATGAATTTGAGATAACAAAAGACTTCAGTGTAAGAGTGTACATTAAAGTGGGACACTTATACTAAAATATGACTATTTATTTGAACTTAAAAGTCAACCAGATGTCCAGTATTTCTGTTTGCTAAATCTGGCAAGCTAATCTGATGGTGAGTTGTTTCACCTTACTAACTGCCTTTGCTCTTCATATTATTTGTTTTAAAGACTTTTCATTTTAAAACTTCTAAGGGCCAGGGGCAGTGGCTCATGTCTATAATCCTAGGACTTAAAGAAGCCAAGGCGGGTGGATTGCTTGAGCTCACAAGTTCAAGACCAACCTGGGCAAAAATTGAGACCCTGTCTCTGCTAAAAATAGAAAAACTGATGCAAGAGGATCACTTGAACCCAAGAGTTGGAGGTTTCTGGGAACTATGATGCCACGGCACTCTACTTAGGGTGGCAGCTTGAGACTCTATCTCAAAAAAAAAAAAAAAAATTAAACTTCTAAGGACAAGCAGTTTTTTTCATTTGTAGTTAGAGAAGAGAACCAACTGGCTCGGCACCTGTCACTCAGTGGTTAGGGCGCCAGCCACATGTACAGGGGTTGGCAGGTTTGAACCCAACCTGGGCCACAACATTGACAACTACAACAGCAAAAAAAATAGCCGGGCATTGTAGAGGGTGCCTGTAGTCCCAGCTACTTTGGAGGCTGAGGCAAGAGAATTGCTTAGGCCCAAGAGTTTGAGGATGCTCTGAGCTGTGATGCCACGGCACTCTACCGAAGGCGACATAGTGAGATTCTGTCTCAAAAAAAAAAAAAGAAGAAGAAGAAAGAAACTGGCAAATCATTTATCCAAGGATTAGGATTTTAAAAACTTGGATTCTAGAAAGTCATTTCTTTGTTACAGATTTGCTTTTCATCTGGGGTAATTTATTCCCTCTTCCCTTGTTTTCCTTGTCAGTGTAACAGGAATCCTATTTATCCTTATCATTACAGAAAGGGCAGAATTGGGAATAAGAGCTTAAGATGTAGCCATTTCTAGTTCTTCACGCTGAGGCTGTATACACACAAGGCACCTTCATCTGCTCTTCAGGAAGAGTGCTTTCCCCAAATAGAATCACAGAATGTGAGTTAGAAGGGATCATTAAGCGCAAATGAGGCTAAAAAGTGATATCTTTTGTTCCTCTTACTACAAAAAGTTATACATGTTCATTGAAGCATATGGAAAATAAAGAAAAACACAACACAAAAAAGAAAAAGAAGCCATCCATTTCCCAACATGTAGATTTGTATCTTTCCAGCCATCTGCATGTAGATTTTTTAGCTAACTAGAATCACAGTCCCTTGACAGATTATTTGTACTCATCTTTAATATATTTTTCCTACAATGTGATAAATACTGACATAGCATTTCTTTAAAAATACTAAAATGATGCAGGCTTTTATTGACAAAATTTTACACACATCTCTCTTATTTCCCAAAAGTGGGACTGCTGGTCAAAGGGCATGCATATTTTAAGACTTTTGATGCTGATGGCAACCAGAAATCAACTTACATTACCAGCAACACTGTATGAGAGTTGCTGCTTCCCTGGGCTCTTTTTTTTTTTTTTTTT